CTGTCTTTCTTTGCGTATGCTCATGGTTTTAGGTTTACTGCTATCAGTGTAGTTTTTCGGTTTCCACTAAATCACAAGTTAAAAACGCAACTGAAAAAAATAAAGATTAAAAGTCAAAACCCTTTTCCTGACTGACTGCCTGAGAGGCAAACGTACTTGTAAGTAGCCTGAATAGTAGCACGTATCAGCAGCAGCTAATCACTAACGAGGCTTTAGATGGCTCCTGCTTCTCAGAATTGCTTATAAACAAGCCGTGATGTAATTCCTGATAAAAAGCTAATACTAACCTGGTGTTGAAACGAATGAATGATTCACAAAGAGAATGATTACGCTTCTGCGGGTCGGCTTTTAGCGCGAGGATAACGCTACTTGAATATAGCCCTCGACGGAAATGTAGTGGAGTATACTGTGGTTTTATTATGTGGCACGCAGTTACGGTTTTGGTGTATTGTTTTATAATGAGCATTTATGCTATTACATTCGCAGACATTCACCCTTTGGGGCGGATTTACAGACTAATTCGATAGGAATTCGAAATGGGGACTGCTTTTTTATGCATTTTGTGCTGCGTAACAGCAGTACAAAACGTGTATTATCGCGGGGTTGTCTGTGTATGTGTTTGTGTGTGTGTATGTCCTTAGCAACTTGTCCGCAACTTTTAGTTCGGGGACCACAAAAGCCAGGAAGCTAAAAATTCAGGGGAACATTTCCCACCCACGTGTGACCCCGCAAGTTTAAATTTTAGCCTCCCCATACCTGCGGGTAACACATACGGCCCCGTAAAAGTATAGGCGGGTAAAATTATCATCACGTGAACCGCGGAAGCTAGAAAGCTGAAATTCTGTGTTCATGTTTCCCACTCATGTGCTATCCAGAAAATTTAGATTCAACTTTCTCCTACCTGCGGGTAACATGTACAGCCTCGTAAAAGTTTTTGACGGGTAAATTATTATCTCGAGAACCCCGGAGTCTAGGAAGCTGAAATTTTAAGATAATGGCCCTCTGCCCTCGAACGATCTTGCAAAATCAAATTCCGCGTTCCCGCGCTCTCGGGTATCACTCACCGCTCCATGAAAATTTTTTGCGGGTAAATTATTATCTCGGGAACCACAACAAAGTTTACGAAGCTCAGATTTTGGGGTAATGACTCCTTGCTCACGTATGACCTTACAAATTCAAATTCAGCGTTCCCGAGCTCTCGGGTATCACTTACGGCCTCGTGAAAATTTTGACAGACGAACTATTATCTCGGAACACGTATGGCCGCAGGTAACACGTGTGGCGCCGTGAAAGTTTTTTACGGGTAAATTAATATCTCGGGAACCACGGAAGGATATTCACCCTTCAAGGTTTCAAATTTAGCTTTGATGCGCCGGTGCGTGAAATTTTTAACTATTTTTCAAAATTTCAACTAATTTTGCACAGACTAAAGTATAAAGCAGTGAAAATCATTAACAGGCAATCGTTCGATGGGCGGAATTGCACAAAACGCATGATCGCATTGGCTAGTCTGGTGCACGTTGCTATTTTTAAATAATGCGCACACTGCAGGACACGGCATAATAATCACATGGAAAAAGAGTATACCAAAGTATTTGGACATGCTTTTCCGGCAGACCCCTATCGAAAGTCAATTTGTATCGCGAATTTACGATAACTTGAATGCGGAAATTGCTCTAGGTATACTTTATGACTTTTTTGTCATCTTTTCAGAGATCTGAATTTATAAGTGGTAAGACAAATATGAACTTCATTGACACAGTATTTCTTCAGTCAAATTCTGCGTTATTTTTTTTTATCTATTTTTGAGGATCTGTATCAAGTATTGCTGAAGCAGTTGAATGGCTAAAATATACATATTTTTACATTCGTGCCAAGCTGAATCCACTGTCGTATGGCATTTCGAGGAAGGATTTAGCAGACGATCCGAATTTGGACGAATATCTGGCGAAGTTGGTCACTGGTGCTGCCACGAAATTGGATTTGAGTCAAATGATTCGTTTTGATAGCTTGTATGTCTTTTGTCTTAACTTATTTGGTTTTTTATGAGTTAATTTTTCTTTGCGTCGAAATGCCTGCGCCAAGATTGCAGATAGGTGGGTTTGACTTGAAAGAAGACAGCTGTGTTTCTCTCGTTAAGCAAGTAAATATGCGCCACAATTCCCAGTTGCCGCACACTGAAGTGCTATAACGTAGATCTTATAGCACTATCAACGTCTTCTGTACTGAACTGGAAGAACCGTGCCCACCTCTTCATGCTCTGTGGGAGGCAGAGATGTACGAATATGAAATATGGTCAAGCATACCAACATTAGCTTTAACGGATAGCACGAAGGATGCCTGAAGTGTGTCTTCGTGGCAATATCTGCAGTCGAATTCTGCATCAGCTGCGTAGGATATCGTTGTGGCCTCATGACTGCTATAGGTCTCAGTAAAAACACCAAAATAGGATCATCGTATCCGTCGCTCGAGGGTCTTAACTTTCTTGGCAATCTTTGTTTTTATAAACATTCCTTTTTAGGAATTCTAGGCCTTTTTGTGCATTATTTTGTTCCAACTTTTGATTTAATTTACTGCTTTCCGTAAAAAGCGATAATAAAGTTGATAGCGCAGAATGATAGCGAAAAAATTGATGTTAAAGGTATTGAGAAATGGTTTTGATACTGATAATAGTGACCAGAGAGAATAGCGTTTCAGTATAACAGTGAGAGCGGATTTCACAAAATGTTGTTTTTTTTATAGGAACGGGTACATGTCGTCGACAGATCTGGGCCGGATTGCCTCGAATTTTTATGTGAAATATGAAACGGTTGATGTATTTATGAATGGCCTTCAAGGACAGAAGCTGGAAGAATTTATGACTGATGATATGATACTGTCACTAATTGCATCAGCAACAGAATTCAATCAGATAAAGGTAATTCTTGTAAAAATTCCGAAAATTCGTTCAAGTTATTCTTTTCAAGTTTTCTGATTAACATTTTCTTGTACACTGCTTTGCTATAAAAACTCCGAAAAATCTTTATCCTTTTCAAGTTTCTTGTTTAACATTTTCTCATGCTGCCTTGTTCAAGGTACGAGAAGAAGAGACGGAAGAACTGGAGCAGCTTGCCACGACTTCTTGCCCACTGCGCTTGAAAATGGGTGCACTCTCGACGGTGCCTGGAAAAATAAACTGTCTAATGCAGGTAGGATGTTTGTGCATTTGGATAGTGCTGTTGTGTCGCTCCTTGAGGCTGCCTCATTTTCGGAAAAGTCTTTTTAATTTGATCTGATTTTTGCTTTTTTTCTTCATTTTGGGCAGTAGTCGAGCAAAAAGCGAAATATAGAAAAAAAAGTCGTAAATAGATAGTTGCACGCAAACAGAAGTTTTATTCCGAATTACATTCCTCTGTTGGCTAAAGTTAGAAGTTTTGAAGTGGAAAACTGGTCTGTCTTCGGTCCTTTGACTTACTTTGAAGATTGTTTTGCTGCTAGAAGTCAAATTCACCACCAGTCTGCTTCCCTAGTAACTCTTGGAAAAAAAAAACCATATGTAGCACGGATGGTTCCCATTGACGCAACAACTCGAGCTACTTCCGAGTGCCTCCAACCTTTCAGAGGAAGTATGCTTGTAATATCAGTTTTTCAAATATGAGTGGAGAGGCTTAGTTTTTATGCGTTTTTTGCAGCAATGCAATGCAAAAAACGCATATTGACGAGAGGTTGTCTGTGTCTATGTGTGTTTGTGTGTCTGTGTGTGCGCTGGGCCTCTG